CTCATCCTCTTCACCTTCCCACGCTCATTCTGGGGGCTAAGGAAATGCTTATCTCCCCAAGAGCGGCCTTCACCAAACCATTCCATCACAACCATCTTACAAACAGACCAGTCTGGTGTAGTGGTTAAGGCATCAGGCTAGTAACTGGGAAACCATGAATTCTAGTCCTGCCTTAGGCATGAAGCCAGGTGGGTGACCTAGAGTGTCTCTCAGCTCTAGGAAGCAGGCAATGGCAAACTACTTCCGAAATCTCGCCAAGAAAACTGCGGGGATTTGTCAAGGCAGTAGCCAGGAGTCAACAATGTCTCAAAGGTGCACACACACAAAACCCTGACCATAGCTCTTAGTTAATTATTAATATATTCTCCAATTTCTTATTAAGAGCAACGTGAGTAGGTTGACTCAAGCATTGTACAATAAAACTTTGAGGAATCTATTCAAGGTTTAAATAAAATATTTTGCTTACAAAATTATGTACCTTACATCTTAAGTATGTCAGTATGTTGCTTGTACCCTAGTTGGTGGGATATAGATAACAGTATGTTGGCTTGCATGATAGTCTCTAACAAATTCCAGCTTGCATGGAATAGCAGAGGCATGTGTGGGGTAAAACTAAGCTTTGGTTGCTTTTATGGTATGTTGGCTAAAATGTGGCCAAACTGACTGGTGCTGTCTTTATTGTAAGGAGGAAATGCTGCATTTGCACAGATGTGACTTGGGCTGGTAATTTCTCTTATTAAAAAGAGTTATGTGAAAAATGTGATTGATCAAGGCCATGATGGGCAGTGGAGGTCAATATCTATTAGGTAATGAACATGGCATATGAAAGACTATGACTTGAAACATAAAGAGGAACAAAGGCTAAAAAGCATGACTAAGCAAAAGGAATAAAATAAAAAAATAGCTACATTCTATGAAACTAAGAATTGTGTTCTTGTTGAGTGCATCCACTCATATTGATTAATATATTTAGGGAAGGGAAACTAAAGGTTCAGTTATGTATGAAAGGGCTAAAAGGTATGTGAGAAACTAGTGTCATTCAGAATGCTAAAGGGGCATAAGTAAGTAGAAATCCATAGGTTGGTGATAGTTGTATATTATGCTCTAGAGAATAGTGAGAATAGAAGATCAAATAGCAAACAAATATATATAGGAAGAGTGAATAGGGGGAGAGGAAGACAAAGATTGAGAAGTCTGTGGTTGGTTGGAGATCCTGAAAGAGAGGTGGGAAGTTTAAAGAACAAAAAATAATGTATGAAACAGTACATGGAGATGCTGGAAGCGTACTATTTGCATTTTGCACAATGCTGCTTGCAAAAGTTGCTTTCCATAAAATTGCTTGCCAAGATCATGTATGTAAATAAGCAGGTATGGTTCTCCTCAAAAACTATTTAAACATTCCTCCTTGTTTTTATTAAAAATATTTGCAAGTCAAGATGCATTGAAACAAGAGTTTTATTAGGCAATCACACTGCCTCAGTCATGGACCTTAAGTGAAGAGCTACATGGTCTTAATGTTTATGAATGATTCAAGGTGATCATAGTCTTCCTCCTTCCATCTTCTTCTATCTTTTTTGATTTTCATAAAAAAAACTGTTAAGAAGTAAAAAGTGGAATAACCCACACTTTGTCTTTAAATGGCCATGCTAAGAAGCCTTTGTCTAGAACCATTCTTGTGTATTCATTCATAAAAGCAACTTGAGTTCCTAATACAAGAGCTCTTAATCCTATTATTTCTCATGTTTGGAAATAAAGTAACACTACACATGCTTGAATATGGTTTTTCTTGGTGTCAAATATTTGATGCCTATGTACCTATAAAGATGAATGCAGCCTGAAAATATGTTATTACTTCAATCAGTTATTTAGCACTGTTTTCCCCATCCCACAATACATCTCTCATAATTATTCTCAAACTTTCTATAAAAATCAGAAAAGACAATAGACAAACAATTCAGCTAAGCAGCAAAGGGGCAGCTGCTTACAAGCAAATGCCAAAAATGTCAATGCACCATTTCTTTGCACACTGGCTTGTTCATGAGCAAATAAAGCATTTACTTCCAATTATTCTTGCTCAATTCTGCAAAAAATAATGAGGCCACAAGAAAGACACTATTTTAATGAATGAAACACTTGTTGATAAGAACAAAACAGGGAGAGTAATACATGAAACTTATCAAACCACTATAAAGAATTAATTTTTATTAATAGCCACAGACATAAGACTGAAAGTATTGGCTTAAAAGGAGTTTATGTGAGCCATATAGTCGGGAAATATAAGCAATATTTCTAAGAAGCTGTCTGATAAGTGGGGATATAAAATCCTATAAATCAATATTTAGATCTAAAAAATTCTTGTTAACATCCAAAGCATACAAACTGCCAAGTTATGTAAACCACTGCTTGAGTTTACACCACAAATTACTTTAAATCCCAAGCTGATGCATTTGTATTCATGTGAAAGATAGAATTGATCAAAGTTGACCCTGGAGAGAAACATAAGCATCTTTCACTTCTCAAGAACATTTCAGAGACAGCTTCCTGTCTAAAATGTGTGGGATAGCAGCAGTCAAATGGGGATTCTATTTGCAACCTTTCTGTATATCAACCAACTACATTCCAAGCAAATGCAGGATAAAGTAGACTTACTTGGAAAGGAGGATGACACAATTTTGTGCTCTCCGGCCATCAATCACAGAAAGCTCTTTAACCTTTCGACTGGATAGGTATAGATCTTCAGTTGATCCCATTTCCTTCTAAAAATAGTTTAAAAAACATGAAATCATCTCTATCTTTTTCCTGTTCCTGTTTTTCAGTCAATGCAATACAGAGAAGGAACACTAGATGGGCAATGCATCATATCCAAAGTAACTAATCCATGAGGAAATCCACTCAAGATGTAGTATTGTGATGCTATAAAAATAAACTTAAAAGAAGAATAAGAAAATGTATACACGTTTTCTTTCCTTGTCTGTCATCTATTTCCTTGCACACCCAGATATAAGTGTACATAGACAGCAGGATATATGCAAGCATGCATGCATGCATATGTATGTGCATCAGGTCCTTATTTTATTGCCTTCGCTATAAATTGGATTGTCTAAACAAGTATAATTAAATGTAGAACACATACAGAGTCACATGCATTACAACACATTATATAAACTTGTATCCAAAATAAGGCATGTTCAAAAAGCAGCAACACCACCATAAAGAGATACCACAGGGATTCAATCAATACTTGAGAAGTGACATAACCCTTGCCTTTGTGGATAGGATTGAGGTTCAGAAGAGGATCCTGATGGAGAAGTAAGGAGAAGCATGTTTTGCTGATGCCACTTTCCCCTGCTGCTCCTTAAAAGTTTCTCGAGTTGAGTTCAATTTCTAGCGACTGCAAAGGACACAGCCTTGTAGTCTTCTTGGCAACAATGCAGAATTATTCAATGTTGCCTGCTTCAAGATGTTTTTCAACTTCCCAGTCTAGGATACACACTTAGGATTCCATGATGCTCTCCCATGTAAGAACTAACCATGTTGACCCTGAATGATTGATTGATTTCTTTCTTTCTTTCTTTCTCTCAATTCCTCTCTATTACTTGGTTTTTTAAAAAATCCATAGGACAGCCTCTAGTATCAATCAGGAATTTCCACCCTGCGCTGTACTGAACGTTTATTGTTCCATGGTAGAAACAGTATTCTTGGTACTGTTAGCTAACTCTTAAAAGATTTACTCTTTTAATCTTGTTACTGTAAGAAGGAATGTGAGCCACTCATTGTCATATTGGAATCACGTAGTATATAGAACCCAGTAAATAAATAAATACACAAACAAATAAAATTCCTAAAACCTCATATTGTTCCAGAAGATCCTCAGTTTAGTGGAGCAGATATTCTAAGAATTGAGAAGCTGAAAGAGGAAGAATCAGTAAAAGTCACCTCCCCCTTCTATTCGTGGGGACATTCATGACATAACTCAATTCAAAAGATGCTCCCATTAACAAATGAAACTCAGAATCCTTCCCTTAATAAATAAAAGTACAGAATTATTTACAAGAAGTGAGTAAAGCCTATCCTTCTGTCTCATAAACAAAAGAAACCACAGCATCTCCAGCATTCTCACTTGTTCATATGGTTTGGATACACAAAAGCACACTGAATTTTGATTCCTCTCTCAAAATCCTTATTACCTTTCTCTTAAGCCCAGAAAGACCTATACATGTGCAGATAAAAGGTAAGGCTTACATGATCATGCAATAAACAAAGTGGGTTATGAAGTTACAGTTGGATCTCATAATCTGGAAAAGAAATCTGAAAAGTCAGGAAGGGGACAGGCGGTAATACTCACCGGCTTACAGGAGGAAGAAGGATTAGTTAGCAGGTCCTACTCAGGCAACAGTTGAAGATAACAGAGAAGGAAACATGCCAACAGTTAGCCACAGCAATAAAAAGGTACAGAGTTTATCAAAGCAATAATATTTGGTCTTTTAATGAAGCACTGGTTAACATGACATTGTATTAAAATAATCAAAGAAGAAATGCATCAGAATTTGTTCTCCTTTCCACAGTCACAAAAGTAGGAGATACCACTGATTTGTACAGAATTTGTACCTTTTCTAAACAGATTCTAAAGACAATAGTTAACAGGATTTCATAGGCAATAATAAGGTCTCTCAGTACTTTTCTTGCAATTATGTAAGTGATGTTATAAATAATGAACTGGCAATTTGAACATCCTAAAAGAATCAATGAGGGACCTTGAAATAAAATTCTATTCCTGTTTAACATTGCCTTCTCAGTATATAACAAACAGCAAATTGAAGTGAAGAACAGACTCTTTGTCTTTTCCAAGAAAGAAGAAGTCGTTTACAGGAAAGAAGCTGGGGGACCAAATACAATATCATATTAACTACGGCAAGAAAAAGAAATGTCTCATTCATGCTCATGCATGCAACCTTACTCTCCCCCCTCCCCCCGGGATTTGCTTTGACATCTGGGTTTGGCTTCATTTGGCTGAAGTTTAAAGCCCAGAGTAAACAGTGAATGACCAGAATAGAATTGGCCTGTTTGGATAAGCAAACCTCATTTTGATCATATCTTAAACTTGCAGAATCATGCTTCAGACCATTCTACTTCCTGTGACAAGACAGGAAGTCTTCAATTAACCATACTTTCCATCGAATTCTTTGCAAATCTTAGCCTGTCCCAAACTTGGTTATTATAGTTTTCTGGTTGATAAGAAGTGCTAAGAGGTCATTTGTCACTGAGTGGGAATCAAAATTTATATGTTGATTCAGAAGTGGCCAACTCATTTCCATGTGCTTTTTGGCAATAAAAAAAGAAACTGAAACTTATAGGAGTCCTGAAAATTAATGGTTTACTTCCGAAGGGGAACTGAAAGGTATTGGAGTCAGGTCAGTTTTCTGGACTAATTTATTAAAGCCCTTCAATAGTTTTGTGCAGTGTGGCATTGTTATTTTATATTATTGGAGAAGAAAAGCTGAAGCTCCAAGCACAGCTGTGGACAATCATTTGAACAGCAGGCAACTGGAAGAAACCTTGTTTTCAAAATATATATTTAATAGCTAAGAAAGAATCTGGAAAAGGAGGAAAAAGAAAGTTAAAGTCCCACTGATTTATCCAGTTGAGTCTCATTCATGAGAAGAAGACAGTATGAGGATGATCTGCTTTCCAAGAAAAGGAGGGGGAAAAACCCTGAATAGCTCCTGTTAAAAGTGTGTCACTACTGTTAGCGTTGAAGTATCCATTATAATCTATTATTTGAAAGAAAAGTAAAGAAAATGAAGCCAAATACAAAGCTGAGCCAATCTAAATTTATTATGCAAGATCTATTTGCTCAGAAGAAATTGTATTACAAAATGGGGGGGGGGGAAACAGAATTAACATCATGAAACAAGAAGGGGAAAAAAGACTAAAAAGAGTCCACTGGAGTTGGGCTACTAATAAATTCAAAAAACTAAAGTAAACTAAACTAAACTAAACTGAGCTAAACTAAACTAAACTAAACAACATCCATCATATAACAACTACAACCACAAATCAGATTGGAGATCCCAAGACCTGCATTTTTTCACTAATGGCAGACACTATGGCAAACAAAATGTAAAGCTAAAACAATGATAGCATAGTTAACCTCCAAGATTGGTATCAAAAACTGACATCCTGAGGCACCTGTTGAGACCCCATTAAAACTGTCTACTTACTGTTTGGCATTCTCATCAGCACTCGGTATCTTGGTCAAGCCCCCATTTGATGTCTCACAGTGCCTCAGAATGATGCTATATTGATGACCTTGCAGGAAACAATGCCCAGGGCTGTGGCACACCATTTCCAGCCATCAACACCAGGTAAGCTAAGGGCCCACCAATAAAAGAGGGGACCTGGTATAACTCAAACCTGGAATCAATCTGTTTATCCTAAAAGAACCATCTATGAAAAGACAGTTCCTGCTGCTTGCTCCTCGCTATTGGTGCACCAATTACTGAAACCATTTCTATGGAGGAACACAGGGAATTCAGAATTTGAGGTGAAGGGAACCGCACTGAAATGCTTTACCTGATGTCTTTGATAGGCTGAGAACATTTTTTCGAAATCTTCCAAATCTAGCATCTTGAAAGCTCGTATGTCATCAATTTCATGCCAGATTGTACCATGTATCTTTTCCTGAAATTCAAAGACATGTATATAGCTATGGTTAGTCCTACATTCTATTGAATCATGTGAGTTGAAACTACACTTTTTACCTATCTATCATGACTCTATCTTCAACCCCCAAGTATACCCAAAGGCCAAATGTTGTTAAAGGTAATTCTTAGAGCACTGCTTCCTTCATTTCTTCTTTTCATGTGTGATTGCAAATCATTCACCTAACACTTTATTAAATGATATTTGAGATGCTTTGGATAAAATACACTGCACTGTAAAGACACTGTTTTTTTAATGCAAAAGAACAAGAAACATCTGAAGATTTAAAAAAAAACCCCACTGTTATGTTTAAGGAAGAAAAACATTAGTGATGGAGCTGTTTTTTTAATGCAAAAGAACAAGAAACATCTGAAGATTTAAAAAAAAACCCCACTGTTATGTTTAAGGAAGAAAAACATTAGTGAT